ATAGAATCGCTAATGCGGAGCTTTAGGAGAGAAGTTTCAGTGGATCAAGAGGCGAAGAAAAGACGCTGGCGTTGGATAGGACAAATGTTGAGAAAACATGAGAACAGTATAACTAGAATGTCTTTGCACTGGAAACTGCAGAGGCATAGAAATAAAGGAAGACCAGAAAACACACGGAGAACGGAGCTAGAGAGCGAAGTTAAAAAAGATGGGGAGGACATGGGGAGATAGCGAAAGATGGAACGACTTGGCATGAGTTAGTTGAGGGCCTATGCTCCATTGGGGGTTAGAAACGAAGAAGAAGAAGAAGAATGTATGTAAAATAAACCAGACAGCTAAAATTATGTTATTGCAGCGTTTCATTTATCAGAAACACCGCTCTGGGCAGAAGCACATGTGCCAGTAGCTGAAAATAGAACTTTCATGACATCGTATTTAAATTTGTCATTGTGGATGTTTTCGTCGGTTTCTGTTTTTCGTTAGCTATTAGAAAGGCCGCGAAATATTTTCCCCGTGTTTTAGTGGGCCGCGGATGTAAAAATGTTGAGGAACACTGTTCTAGAGATATCGTCTTAGGAATCTGAGGTAGAACGCGGCCTGGCAGACACTCTCAGTGTATGGCCATGTGCGTTTATCAGCCAGGTCACCGTTGGGTTTGCTAATCTGGAGGCAGACTTCAAAACGGTGTAACATTCAGCGCGAGCTAAGGAACCAGCATTACGTGACCTGTGAACTCTGACCTACATTGCGTCAGATTATTTTGTTTAAAAGCCTTGATTGTGAGGCTTTGTCTTATCTCTCTTTAATGACGTCAAGCATGTCAGAAATGTACACACAGGCACGCCAGCGAATTCTAAAATAAATGTCTTCTAACATTTGTCTTTAATTCTTCTCTACTTTTAAGAGATTTAAAGGGCTATGTAGTGAACCGTTGTTTTCCTCCCTCTTATTGCATACTTCCACCTCCCCCCCCCCCCCTCTTTCCCAATTACCTCTCAGCTGCTTCTAACTCTCACGGTCTCAACTTCTCTCTGCGTCCCACACTCCTTATTGACATATCTGTCCGAGTTCACCGTAAGTAGGCGCACCGTCGGTTGGTGCGCATTGCTTAAACAAAATACGAATGGTAGTTTTGATTGTTACAAATGAAATGCCGTGTCAAGAAATGGTGGAAAAAATTTAACAAAAAATTCATAGGAAACGTCTTATTTAGACAGAACGTATTTACAGAAATCATTGTAATTACACTGGAGACAGTGACCCCCCCCCCCCCCCCTCCAGGCCAACCTTTAATTTCTTATAGAAGAAGAAGGAAAACACCAAGGACAGATTAAAAACGTAATGAAGAAATGCATCGACCAACACAGATAACTGTCTCCGTAGCGAAATGACCTGCTGACTTTTCTGGCGCTACGACGGTCGTGGGTTCCTTTCGCCGGCTGAGCCGTTCGGTTCTTGAATTCAGTTTGAATGGAAATCCCTGGGGATTACCGCTGGAGCTGCTGTTACCTGATTTATGCAACGTTTTCGACAGGCGGCTGAGTTTTATGAGGTAGAAACTGTTGCAACGAAGACGGTCCTCTCGATTTCAACTTCAGATGTTTGATTACATACAGCTGAAAAGGAAGATTGCACTTTCTTTGAACATATCTTGGAAAGAAAGGGGAATTGGGTAAATAACAGTGACTTAGCGTGATCAGTTCGCATGTTTAAGCATTAACAGGAGAGTGCGCGCATGTGATATTTTCTCTCTCTCTTCCCCATTCCCCAGTGAAAGTATGCGTGCGCAGTTGTCATCATCGTCACCATCATCACTAGTAACTGGTAGCTTTCACATTTTACCGTTTCTTAAGCATACCCCGAGCGTTGTTTTTGCTGTGTCCGAGACGTAAACCAGGTAGCATGTTTATAATAAACAGTAAGCAGTAGTGATAGATAGTAAAATAATGCATGTTTCTTTGGCATTAAAGGAAAAGTGTAGGCGGTGATTACAGCGGTTAAATGCACGCCTGGCCAGTGGATTTTGTAACTGCGAGACAGTTTTGGTGGAGAGGGGCCGGTTCTGTCCCAATATCTCGCCCCGAACAGACAGTTAAATATTTTAGAGGGGGGTAGATAGGCTGCATGCAGCCATGGGACCTAGGCTGCACTGTCTCTCGTGGGACGTAGGTGGGTTGGGATGAGATGTTTTGATGTAGTTAAAAGCATCAGAAAGCCGGGAAACCCGCTCTTACCACCCTCGAAATTATTGCACTGTCCTGTGACGTCATCCGGGGGGGGGGGAGGAAAAAAGGGGGGGGGGGTATTTGGAAAGCACGATAAAATGCAAGTCAGTTTAGCACCTTAGCAGGGACAAACAGCTATACCGGAAGTGATTCACGCTACACAACACGGAGTGGTTTGTGAGGAGCCATGATAACCAATGCCACACGGACTAAAAGAAATGATAAATACAATAATAGCTCTGTAGATTTCACGGCTCATGCCAACCGTGGCTAAGGATATTTTGCAGGATTGTCGGTTTAACCTCTACCGGTGTTTCTGCTCTCACCTTTAACCTTTACCGTGATCTAGGCTTGGCAGTCAGTCTAACCACATTCCGTTCTTGTTTTCCCGGCATGTCAGACAGGGATGTTTGATGGTGCAGTATGCGAATACTAACTAACATATGCGCTTACTGAACACTTAAATATTAACTGTATGTCTTTTTGCTCGTAGAAACCAATGTTCCTCAACTCTTTTACACCCGCAGCCCACTGACAGTCAAACACGGCCACCCCCCTCCCCCCCCCCCCCACATTGTAGATTGCAATTTATCTGTTGAATGTCACAAAATTACGCTTTTCAGCTAATGCGAAATGTGCTGCTGCTTAGAGGTTTAAAAATCACGCGCGCGCGCGCACACACACACACACACACACACACACACACATATATATATATATATATATATATATATATATATATATATATATATATATATATATATATATATATATATATATATATTATGTTTTTGTTGTAGTCGATTTATGATTTTTCCTCTTCTTCATCTTCTCCTTCGCCTTCTCCTCCCCTCATCCTCCTCTTTCTCCTACTCCTCTTCTCGTCCTCCTGCTATTGCTCATGACCTGCACATGCTTGTAACCATCTCGCCCAGAACCCTGTCACTCTCTGCTATCTTGTAAACAACACTGATAGAACCAAATCTCACCAGTACCTATTGAATTCAACTTCGTCTCGTCAGTACGTGTCCGACTGAGAGCAGCAGGAGATACCAGGGCCTGGCGTCATGACCCAGGTTGGCCCACCTTTCGAGATTGTTTAGGATGGTACTGGGTCGAAACAATTGTCGACAGAGGATCTTCTACTGACGACCAGTAGACTCCTGCTGTGTATTCTCCCCTATGGGTTTTCTTCTTATATTACATTTCTTGTTATTTCCTTCCTGGACATCAGCTCCCTCGCATGTGTTCATTCTTCTGCACACATTTTACCTAGTTTAATTAATGTAAAAGTAAAGATCCCTTTTCACGCCTTAGGCGCATCGCGTTTATTGGGAAGAGCGTCCCATATTTTTACAGACCAATCGGCACTGGATGGGTAATGTGGTCAGCATTACGCCGGCCGTCTTCACTTTCCCAGGACAGCTATCCTGGTACCCATTTTAGGCTGGGTCGACCTGCGACACCCCATACCATGATAAAAATCCACGCAGCCAGCAGTGGGTTTCGATCGCGGTACGTTGGATTACGAGTCGGACTCGCAACGCCTAAGCCACGGACGCCGCTAACCTAGTTTGCTAGCTCTATAATTTACAAAAGTAGTCAGGAACACAACTTGAATTATAACACCTAGCATGTGGTCAGTTGCGAACTCAAAGCACCATATTCACACTTGGAACTACCTTGCCACTTACAGCTATGTGCACATTGAAGCATATGTATTCAAGGCCGCACCGTATGCTCAGCACGTTGTTTATATAATCAACAACCCACATATCGCCACTAGCTGCAAGTCCGTCATATGAATGGAATTTAGAGTTATTCGGATTGAGGCACACATTTACCGGGTCATGACCCACCCAAACTCTTAGTTTGCTACAGTGTGTTTTCCTCAGTCCTGTTGGAACCGACAGTTTTTGATATTATGTCTACAGCTCAGTGAATAAATTTATATATTAACAGCAGTAGCATTAGCGGTAAAACAATCTTGACGGATAAAGCAAACATTTTTAAGGCTGTCTGTGATTGAACGCATGCGGAAGACGGGGCTAGGTGTATCCACATTGGAAATATGTGAATGTGGAATTAGTGTGTGGTCGTGTTGGGGGCACATACCACACACCAACAGTTTATGATATTGTTGCGGCGGGTCACGTGAATGTTAGGGCTTACCTGACACCCCTTCCCCCTGGGGGGGGGGGGGGGGTGTCTAAGGCACCTCCCACAAAATTATATATATAAACATTCCCTCAGATTTCAAATTTTCTGTAAACTTTCCATATAGCAGAGTGAGAAAACAAGATTTCTAATTCTCGTCAAATATTATAACACAGTGAGAAACCCAGATTTCTAATTCTCATCAAATGTTGTAACACAGTGAGAAACCCAGATTTCTAATTCTCATCAAATGTTGTAACACAGATAGAAACCCAGATTTCTAATTCTCATCAAATGTTGTAACACAGTGAGAAACCCAGATTTCTAATTCTCGTCAAATATTATAACACAGTGAGAAACCCAGATTTCTAATTCTCATCAAATGTTGGAACACAGTGAGAGACCCAGATTTCTAATTCTCATCAAATGTTGTAACACAGAGAGAAACCCAGATTTCTAATTCTCATCAAATGTTGTAACACAGATAGAAACCCAGATTTCTAATTCTCATCAAATGTTGTAACACAGTGAGAAACCCTGATTTCTAATTCTCATCAAACTCTGGCACAGAATGAGAAAACCAAATGTCTAATTCCCATCAACATTCTATGACCACAGAGTTATCATGAGGAGATGCTGGAGAGATCTCCACGCAGGGAGTTCCTCAACAGCTACTCGCGGCAGCTGCTGCTGCGCTACCCACACATGGCCGAGCAGATCAGTGCTAGGATGAGCCGACTGAATTCCCAGTGGAGCACCCTGGAGCAGACCACGGCGCCCATGCACAGTAGACAGGAGACTGACACCATGCTGCAAGGTGGGGGGCCTGTCTACTGTTATCTGTCTGTCATTACATACTGCTTCCATTAACTTGTTGATATATATTAGTTAAATATTAAGTTCCCTTTAACATTGACAAGTATTGATAGTTAAATACTTTTAAAATCATAATTTGTCCTGTCCTGATAGGTGGTTGTGTAAAGGCTAGATGCCTTACTAGTGAATCCAAAACTCATGGGTTCAAGTCTGCATTTAGTCTAATATTATTTAAAAATAAAATAAAATGGCAGTGGTTGTGAAGTCGACTTAAGTCTAAAATGGTTACCAGCTGGAATCCTGGGAAGTAAAGGCAGCTGGCTTGATGTTGACCACCTCTCCCACAGAGCCTATAAAAATGGGAGACTAGCATCATATGCCCAGTTCACCGCTGGCATTAAAAAGGTCCCTTACTTTCACTTGCCCTGGTACCAGCTGCCACAGAGAACCACACTGAGGAAATATAAACACAAGGCAAGCGGAAGACCATGGACACTTGGGAACAGAGACATCAAGTACAGCCCTAAAGAAATAAAGAAAACATTATGCCACCATTAAGACACCACACAGAAGATTCTTACATAGCCCACATCACTTTGATGATGAGAAACTGGAGGAAGAAAAGAAGACCATGTGCCTTGCCACATAGTCTAAGGTCAGTGGTCCCACGCCACTTTGATGATGAGAAACTGGAGGAAGAGAAGAAGATCATGTGCCTTGCCACATAGTCTAAGGTCAGTGGTCCCACACCACTTTGATGATGAGAAACTGGAGGAAGAGAAGAAGATCATGTGCCTTGCCACATAGTCTAGGGTCAGTGGTCCCACACCACTTTGATGATGAGAAACTGGAGGAAGAAAAGAAGATCATGTGCCTTGCCACATAGTCTGAGGTCAGTGGTCCCACACCACTTTGATGATGAGAAACTGGAGGAAGAGAACAAGACCATGTGCCTTGCCACATAGTCTAAGGTCAGTGGTCCCACACCACTTTGATGATGAGAAACTGGAGGAAGAGAAGAACAAGACCATGTGTTTTGCCACATAGTCTAAGGTCAGTGGTCCCACACCACTTTGATGATGAGAAACTGGAGGAAGAGAAGAAGATCATGTGCCTTGCCACATAGTCTGAGGTCAGTGGTCCCACACCACTTTGATGGTGAGAAACTGGAGGAAGAAAAGAAGATCATGTGCCTTGCCACATAGTCTGAGGTCAGTGGTCCCACACCACTTTGATGATGAGAAACTGGAGGAAGAAAAGAAGATCATGTGCCTTGCCACATAGTCTAAGGTCAGTGGTCCCACACCACTTTGATGATGAGAAACTGGAGGAAGAGAAGAACAAGACCATGTGTTTTGCCACATAGTCTAAGGTCAGTGGTCCCACCACTTTGATGATGAGAACTGGAGGAAGAGAAAGAAGAATCATGTGCCTTGCCACATAGTCTGAGGTCAGTGGTCCCACACCACTTTGATGGTGAGAAACTGGAGGAAGAAAAGAAGATCATGTGCCTTGCCACATAGTCTGAGGTCAGTGGTCCCACACCACTTTGATGATTAGAAACTGGAGGAAGAAAAGAAGATCATGTGCCTTGCCACATAGTCTGAGGTCAGTGGTCCCACACCACTTTGATGGTGAGAAACTGGAGGAAGAGAAGAAGAAAACCATGTGCCTTGCCACATAGTCTAAGGTCAGTGGGTTTCAATTACATATGACCCACTGGCCTGACACGTTTGCTAATAATAGCTATATTTAAAAAAGGGAAAAACTGAATCATTATTACTAAAGGATTGAGGGTTATTTCTGGTTTTATTTCTTTTTTTTCCTTTTTGTTAATGTTGGCATGGGATATGTTCACGCTGTTCATGCCGCAGGGCACTGCAAGCTAGCAGTGAGGGAGTTGCTAGCTCTTCCTTGGAAAGGTGAAAATTAGTAGCTATCCACAACCCATAGAACACCCAAGCCAAACTCACCTCCAGGGGGTGCACACCCCAAAAATGACGGTGCAAAGTCTCAGGCTAACGAAGCTCTGGCTCAACAGGCAAGTTAGATAGAATCCATCTGGGCTAAATTCTCACTTAAACTGTGTCAGGCCTGGCAAGCCAGCAGTGGATTCAATCTTGCTCGAAGCAACAACAACAAAAAACCACGCTAATGGAATATCTAAGACCCTAAATGTCAACATCTTTTTAGAGCATACCAAGGCTCAGACACGAAATCTTCAAAACTAGACACTGAAATGCAGAACAGGGCTGGAGAAGATGAAGACAAAGAAGAAATGCTATCATGAACCAATATAATTTGCTCCATGGACCACCAGTTGTGAACCAGTGGTTCAGCTGTTCTGGACCTGCCATTGATATTCTGTGTCAACTTTGTTGATGATATTCCTCAGTGCCTCTCTAAGTGTTCTTACTCTTTCTACCACTGATTTTTCCATTCGTCACTGCTTTCTTGTATTGCTTTTCGGCCACTTTTAAAGTTGTGTAATGTTTAAACTTTCATTGGGATTCTCCAGGTAATCATTGTTTGTAGCATCCGATGTTTCAGGTTCTTAAACAGTATTCGTCTGAGAAACTGCATCTCTGCTGCCTCCAAGCTTTTCTTAATTCAATTTGTTAGTTTACTGACTGACTGACTTTCTACCCCACCAGGACATCACACAAGCGATTAACACCCGATGACACAATGTGCCACCATGTGGATGAGGATCACCGTGGAGAGGTCCCAGAAACGGGGTTCAGCCTTTAGGCCATATTTATGGCCAGGCTATATTGCGGCCCCTGGCAAAAGCCAGAGTAGGGCTTCAAATAACGAACAATTTCATCCTGAAAAGGACAGGAAATAAAAACAATATTTGTCATTTTGTTAGTCTACATAGGCCTGTGAAAATCATAGTATTGTAATTATTTGTTTTTCACGGTGAATGTCTTGGCTTTATAAGTGTTAAACATTTATAAAACAAAGTTAAAAGTGCAATACAGTATATAGTATTGCATATGAGAAAGGTGTTTTGGTGAGCAAAAAGTAATGCACATCTTGCTTTTCCCATTTCACTCCGGTCATCCACTTTCTCTACCATGTCTAAAGAGAAGGTTGAATTTAGTCGAATCGAGAACTCACTTCACAAAAGTTGGACATTCCCATGAGCGTTCCATCCAAATCTTCAGCTGCCACTAAGGAGTTCCAGTTTGACTGGTGCTAAATAGCATTTAAAGGGAGATAACTGAGAAAACAAAATGTGCTCTGTTTCCTACATTGATTCCCTTTATTGAAGAGAGCGGTATTGAGTAATCCCATCTCACAACCTCAGAACATGTCTTGTAAGACAGCTATCATGGCGTAGCTGCAAAGCAACATGTGGCCACACGCAGTGGATCTGACATCTGAGCTTTGTGAACACCGAGATGACTTCGAGCTGATATCCCAGTTTATGGCCAACAGTGAATTAAGCTCATGACCAGAAATTGCTAAAGAAGAAGAAATCATTATCACCAGTCTTCAGGCTTCTTCACATAAAAGATAATAATGAAAGGTGATTTTCTAGTAAATACTGTCATATGAGCTAGAAAAGACAGGCATTCATATACATGGACATATGGTTAGATGGATCAGTTTTAATTGATCTCAGTACTTGAGATCTGGTAATAAAGGGATTTTGTTGTGTTTTTCAGATTTAGAATGTGACCTGAAGACGCTGAGACACTGGTTGAATGCGGTTGAAGCCAAACTTCTTCCACTGACCATTAATCCTGACTGGACAGATGCAGAGTTGGAGGAACGGCTTCAGCGGCATCAGGTAGGGCATGTTTAAAGTAATGATGTGTTTGTTCAGTTTTTGGTATCACAGTAGAATGGCAGTGTTTGTGAAAAACCATCCGTGACGCACATGCATAAATGGGAAAGTACAGTCACTGTGGGGTTAAAGACAGATTGCTCAATATCTCAATACATAGGACAAATGTTTAAACCTTAGACCCAGGTCAAACAAGATATGGAAGTTTTGCTAGAATGGTGTCACATCTCAAACTCCTGTGTTTCTGAAGCTTTAACTATATTCTTTGGGATCATACTTTAACTCTTTGAGTCCCAGAGAAGGCGTCATACATTCATAGGTTCTTACCTAGAAGCCCAATGAACGCATAATGTGTCGATTTTAGTGTTCCTTTACTACCCATTGGGCCTGTGATGCTAAACCCCTTGGGACTCCAAGAGTTAAGGGCTTACTTTTTCCTAGACTTCTTCTTTAGTCTGTAGATTTTTGTTGACTGTTTTTTGTTCAGTATGAACTGAGAGTTTTTTTGTTCAATTATGAACCTGGACAACCCAAACACCATTCCTGCAAGGTGTAATGGACACAGACCATTATTGTCTTTTTTAAATATTTTTTTTAATCTATGGGAGATAAATCTGTTATTCTGAAATAATCATGTGATTTTGATTATTTACCCTGAAAAGCAGAAGCCATCATGACCAAAAACCACTTCACAAGCAGCACAGAAATGTGTTACATTGATAGACATCTGTATAAAAGCCAGTATAGTGATTATGCAGTGGGCACTGTCCCTAAGTCAATGCGAACGCTTCGTAATGCCGGGTTCGATCCCAGCTGCGGGCCATGTGCCTTGGTTTTGACAGTGGTATCAAAGAAGCCGACCGTCCAGAAAGCGATAGCAAACTACGGGACGTATATTTGCCTAGAAAAACCACAGGGGCTGTTGGGGTTGGTTCTGCAACGTCCTGTAAAGGATACGCAACTAACCTAGTGATTATGCACTGCATTTTTAACTTATTTAAAAATGTGTTTGTTTCCCATCGACATCATTGTGACCCTAGCTACAACATTCACACACATGGCCAGTTGTATGTGAACATGTGGGCCCATAATTCTCTTTGTGCCGACGAAGTGCCTGCAGTTGAGCTGAGATCCTCCTCTCTTGCTCCACTGGCATGAAATAATAATGTCCATACTAATCAGTAGAGAGCAGGATTCATGGCTTTATGCTTGTGGAGATTTTGAGGAGATTAGAGCACCTGTGGATCTGTCAGGAGTGCTGTGATGATAATCCTTGCTAATCACTAAAGAATAGTAATACTGCGACTCATCCTGTAAATAAGTAAAAAGCCAACCATTGACAAATTTAAAAGAGAGTCATGTATTAGCCAACCAAGATGCCAGAGGTTCTTCTTGAAGAAGAATGATGTTATGTGGAGAAAGCTGAAAGTTTTCCAAATCATCAACAAGTTTAGAGGTGGGGAGGACATGTGGTGACCTGCGATACCAAAGGATAGAACGACTTGACCTGGATTGGTTGAGGGCCTAAGCTCCACCACAGGATAATGGACAGAAGATGAATAATCATTACTAGGTTTTAAATATTGAAATTACTGTTGTGTCTACAATGTTTTAACCATACCTTTCTTTTGTAAAGATATCTGCATAGACGTTGAACCGAAAATAGGATAATGCATATCTGTGTCTTACTTGTGTATTTTTATAAAAAAATCGAAGATGTAATGTACTGTTGACTCAACCTGTAGAAGGCTTTAGTTCCAGATAGTTGTTAGTTCATCTTGTCTCTCAAAAAGTTGTAGTGTCAAGTTACAATTAGACACCTTTATCACAGGATGGCAGAATACACCATTTGGTTTAGCTGTCACAGTCGACCAACATCTCAACACATAGGACAAATGTTTAAAACTTAGACCTAGGTCAAACAAGATATGGAAGTTTTGCTAGAATGGTATCACATCTCAAACTCCTGGGTTTTTCCAGAATGTGTTCCATATTCTCTGGGATCGTACTTCAAGGGCTTACCTTTTCCTATTCTCCTTCTTTAGTCTGTAGAATATATTGTGAACTGTTTTTTGTGAGGTTGAATGGGATATGAAAGGTTTGCATCCAGGATAAGATTCTAGAAGTTTCAAAGTGGTTAAGCTTTCAGATAGCTATCTCTAGGCAAAAATCAGACAGATAGACAACAGATAAAAAATAATAAATGTTTGTCTAGACTTTAACCCAAGACAGCACATAATGCAGACACAAACGTACATTGCACAGTTTATTGCCAGACATATTACGCTCTATGTTATCAGGAGCATGACTGAATCTGTATGTTTGAGGTAGTTAAGGTAATATTTGACGGACAGAGTGAATGTAACATGACCAATCATATAGAACATGTTGTTCATGGAATCAGGCTTAGCAGGTGGGTGGGGACACTGATAATTACACTGAGTGCATTTCTGTCATGGGTGGAATAGATTTCAGTTCGTGTATTGTTGTATGTTTAGGACTGCTAGGCTTTGCTTTTGATTGTTGTGATTCATAAACCCACCTATACTGAAAGGCAAATTACTTTATAACCTAACCCTACAATTCCCAGTTTAGCTGTTTTATACTGTTGGCAGGGGTTTCATTACTGGAATTTGCTCCTGTTTGATTCATATCCAGATAGTGTGGCTCTCGGAGTCCATGGCAGTAGAGGTCTGTCTTTCAGAAGTTAACACCAGAGGGGAAAAAATTAAAAGGGGAGGGGGATTAGAGAAATACAAAAACCTAGGCTTCTATGGTTTAAGCTCTGTGCTGGCTGCTGAAGATGGGGACGGAGTGCATATGGGAATGCCCCTGAGTGCTGTGATGTCAGTTCAAAGTCTCAACTCAACTCAAACTCAACTCTATGACTTGAGCAGGTGACAAGGTGACAAGGGCCAGTAGTGTGAGGAAGTTAAGGAATCACTCTGACCGCACTGTTTTATTTTCCTATTTAATCGCCTCTATCGTTTTCATGCGCACACATGCGGGCATTCACTCACAATGAGGTACTCACTGTCATGCTCACGCACACAGACTCACTCTCTCACTCACTCTCACTCACTCACTCACTCACTCACTCACTCACTCACTCACTCACTCACTCACTCACTCACTCACTCACTCACTCACTCACTCACTCACTCACTCACTCTCTCTCTCTCTCTCTTTTTGTCTGTGTGTGTGTAAGAGAGAAAAAGCGATCGAGAGAAGAGTGACATAACTTATGTAGCTGCAGGGAAATAGGTACTCTTACACATTCTAAATGGGACACCAGCAGACAACCCAGGATCTGTTCAGTCTGTTTTAAAACAGCGGTGACATATTAGCCATTCAATGGCCCAATTTCATCTTATTTTCTGAACGTCAGAGTGAGGACAGATGTTGACGGATGAACAGTGATAACATTTTATCACCATGAAAAATAATACTAAATATGTATCTGATCACTGTTACACTCACTGGAACAAACATTAGGGAATTCACTCTAGCGTGACGTTATCATCATGATTTTGACTGTTGGGTCTATGTGTCTTTTAATATCTGTGGGAAAATCTCTCCCTGGGTCGATAACTGATATGCTCATCTGGTGTTGCTGTGTGCTTATTCAGCGAGACCTAGTTAATATGTTGTAATTGTGAATCTAGTTTATGAGATCCGACCAACAGTTCATTTTAATCCGTTTATCTTGTGGATAAAAAAAAAAAAAAAGCAACAGGCAAGGGTTTACACCATTGGTGGATGTGGTGAATGGTCCTAGAGTGATCATAACGTCTTGAGCTGAAAACGGAATATCCCATGAATATCTTGAGCTGAAAACTGGAAATCCCACTGTTTTGAGCTGAAAACGAGACATCTGACTATCCTAAGCTGAAAACGTAACACCCCACTATCTTGAGCTGAAAACGGGACATCCCACTATCTTGAGCTGAAAACGGGACATCCCACTATCTTGAGCTGAAAACGGGACATCCCACTATCTTAAGCGGAAAACGGGATATTATACTAATATCTTAAGCTGAAAACAGGACACAATATCTTAAGGGAAAAAAGTCACTATACCACCCCCCTCCCCTTCCTCCACCAGGTCGGAGGTGTAAATAGGTTAATTACTCATCAGACAATGATATTAAAACTTAAACCATTGCCACTACAGTGTGCTTTTTAACTGCATTGAAAAGGAGAAAAAAAAAAACTGATTATTAAATCATTTCAGGCATTAAAAGTATCTAAATCTATAAATTCTAATAGGGTCTACAGATAAAATTATCAATGTATGTTCTGTTCTCGAGCTTATTATTTTTTTAAAATGGTGACACTAGCTGGGCAGCCGGAGCACCCATAAACAAAAAATAAACGGTAAAATATGATCACCCTATCCTAGACCCATGTTTTTTTTTTTATATACCAAACCGCTTGATAGGTCATGTGTCTTACGGATATTAGATGTAAACTTGGGGTCAAACGTCACCCGCCTACCCTTACCCTCTTTACAGCAGATGCAGTCATTGTTTCACACTGCCGTGGATTATTCCACACTGCGATGGACTATTACACACTGCCATAGACTTTGCACACCTCCATGGACTATTGCACATTGTCATGGACTATACACACTGCCGTGGACTATTGAACACTGACGTGGACTATTGCACACCACCTTGAACTATTGCACACTGCCATAGACTGTTGCACACCTCCATGGACTACTGCACACTGCAATAGACTGTTGCACACCACCATGGACTACTGCCAGTGCCACCGACTGTTGCACACCACCATGGACTATTGCACACCACCGTGGACTATTGCACACCACCGTGGACTATTGCACACCACCGTGGACTACTGCACACCACCGTGGACTATTGCACACCTCTGCGGACTATTCCACGCTGCCATAGACTATCCACACGCTGCCAGGGACTACTCACACATTGTGGTGGGCTATTCTACACTATTGTGGACTGTTCCACACTGCCGTG